TTTTGTAATGAAACAATATTTGGAATGATAGTTATGAATGATATAACCATATTTATTAAGCTGTGACGCCTTAATTTTTCTTCGACTGAGTATGCTTGAATGCTTTTAATATTTCACACACTTTATTGGATGTGATAGTTTTAAGGAAAGTACCATGCCTAAGGGTTCCACATTTGTTTTAGTCCGAAGCAAAACTAAATAAGATGTGAAGAAGGGATCTCCTCTGACGATTTACCTGATAACAGAGGATAGTTTTTTCCTTTGGTGATTTAACCGTCAAGGCCTTCTTAAAATGGATTTGTGTGGAGTAAGTATGTTTATACTTGTTTCTTCTTGTATTTTTTTTGATGTGGGACAATCTCGTGACTCATATTATCGAACTTAGAGTCAGTGAGTATGACCTTCACAAGACCTCGGTATTGGGCGTAAGAGTAAGTTTTGCCAAGCTGGACACTTAGGGTCCGTAGCGAATGAACTACTCCCCGGCCCTGAGCCTGAGGGGAGGTTTGCCGAGCTGGACACTTAGGGTCCAAAGTAAGTGAATTACTCCCCGGCACTGAGCCTGAGGGGAGGTTTGCCGAGCTGGACACTTAGGGTCCGAAGCGAGTGAATTACTCCCCCGCACTGAGCCTGAGGGTAGGTTTGCCGAGCTGGACACTTACCGAAGCGAGTGAATTACTCCTCGGCGCTGAGCCTGAGGGGAGGTTTGCTGAGCTGGACACTTAGGGTCTGAAGTGAGTGAATTACTCCCAGACGCTGAGCCTGAGGGGAGGTTTGCCGAGCTCGACACTTAGGGTCCGAAGCGAGTGAATTACTCCTCGGCGCTGAGCCTGAGGGGAGGTTTGCCGAGCTGGACACTTAGGGTTTGAAGCGAGTGAATTTCTCCCCGGCGCTGAGCCTGGGGGGAGCTTTGCTGAGCTATAGCATATATATATATATTTTTCAAACAACTTGTCATAAGGCCGAAGACTCAAAAATGATAGGAGGCCAAGAAAGCGAGTAACAGTGGCTGGGAAGTTTCCTATTTGCTTATTTTGGAGACTTTCTTCCACTGAGACTCCCTTCTTGGTGACCAAATGTAGTGGATTACGCATATATCAACCACATTTCTTTTCTACTTCTATCCGATGTGGGACATAAATTAAACTTTGTCAAAAAAAAGTCAGTGTAAGGAATGCCTCTGGTACTGGGCTTGGCAGCCTTTAATACCAGTGGGCCCTCCTTACACTGCAGTCAACTATTTGAATATTCCCATATATAACAGAATGTAAAACATACTTTTTTATCGATTTGGGATAGAAAGCTTTAAATAGGCCATAACTTGGGTTTAAAAAAGAATCATTGTGAAGAATGCTTTTAAAAAAGAATCATTGTGAAGAATGCTTCTTAATAACTTGATTTTAGCATTGCTTTGCATAAAAAATGCATAATGCGTCTTGGCACACAAATATGCATAAAAATCACATAATTATAGGGCACTAGTATGGCCCTCATTTTTATGGAAAGAAATAAATGAAGTAGAATTGTACTAAATATGATAGAAGCAACATAAAGAAAAAACCTGACTGACTGTGGGCATAAGCAGCCTTATTTGTGAAGAATTACTAGCAAAATTGACAAACTTATCTAATGGTAATACCTTTTAAAGTGTATTGCATTTCAAGGACGCGCAATGGGATGTCCGTCAGCTTTGGCCAAACGATATGCTCCCTTCCCCACTACTTCAATAACCCTATAAGGTCCGGTCCAATTAGGTTCCAGTTTCTTTACATGAGCTGTCTCTTGCTTCAAAACCCAATCGCCTACCACAAAGCTCCTGAACCTGACGTGTTTGTTATAACTGCTTCGCAACTGTTGCTGATATGAAGTAAGCCTAATTGCTACAGCATCCCTTTTTCTCGTCCAGGAGATCGAGGCTGTGTTCGAGCTGCTGACCATTGTTTCCTTCAAGTAACAAGAATGTCTGAAGGGTTGGAACTGCCGCCTCGGTTAGGATCACAACTTTCGATCTATAAGCCATGGCAAATGGACTTTCCCCCGTGGGCCGCCGTGGAGTGGTTCAGTATGCCCAAAGCACCTGAGAGAGATTCTCGTACCATTTTGTTTTAAGTTTCTCCAACTTCTTCTTTAAACAACTAAAAATGGTTCGGTTAGTTATTTCAGCCTGTCCATTCCCTTGTGGATGACTGACTGCAGTTAGCTTTTGTATAATTCCATGCTCGTCAAATAATTTTCTTATACTCTTATTGTCAAGGTTCTTACCATTGTCCATCATAATGACTTTTGGTACCCCAAACCGGCAAATGATGTTGTTCTAAAGAAAACTTTTTACCTACTCATGAGTCACACTTAAGTAAGCCTCGGCTTCCACCCATTTTGTGAAATAGTCTGTAGCCAGCAGCACGTATTCCTTTTGTTCCATGGTCTTGGGTAACGGGCCCACCATATCAATCCCCCATTGTGTGAACGGCCATGGATTTGCCATTGCATGTAAATCTTCGGCATGTTGATGCTTTATTGGACCATGGCGCTAACACTTATCACATCTCCGGGCGTACTCTTCATCATTCCGGGCCAAGTACGGCCAGAAGTAACCTTAAGTTAGAACCTTATGTACAAGGGATCTGCCCCAAGAGTGGTTGCCGTAATCTCCATCATGAATCTGTTTCAACACCACAAGGCCTCAGTAGGGCTTAAACATTTCAGGTAAGGACCTGAGAATGATTTTCGATATAACTAGTTGTTGATGGCATATTTAGCTGCGGTGAGTCTTAGCTTCCACGCCTCATTTTTCTGGTTTGAAAGAGTCCCATGCTTGAGGTAGGCTTCCAATGGATCAATCCAGCATGGTTCTTGCGGAATGACTGGAATCATCATTACTTCTTGCTGAGGGTTGATGCTGGGTTCATCCAGGACGTCAATTAGCATAATCTGAATTAGATCTTCATTTGTGGATGACGCTGCCGTGGCCAATTGATCTGCTTCAGCATTCTTAACATGAGGTACCTGGTGGAATTCGACTTGATCGAATCCTCGTGTAACATTCTTCACAACTTCTTTATATGCTTTCATCCTTTCCTCTTTGGGATGATACTGACCTGTCACTTGATTTATAACAAGCTATGAGTCACTAAAAACTTTTAAACAATGTACCTGAAGGCTGCTGGCCAATCGAAGACCAGCAAGTAACGCCTCATATTCAGCCTCATTGTTTGTAGCAGGGAAATTTAAGCAAATGGACTGCTACAACTTGGTACCCTCGGGTGTTGATATAACAACCCCAACTCCTACACTTGTTTAGTTCGAGGAGCCATTGACCCAAAGCTCCCACTATGGTTCAGGGAGTTCTGGCTCTTCGGAAGTGTCTTCATATTCTAAAAGAAAATCTGCTAAGGCTTATCCCTTGTGCGACACCTTCGGCTTATAAGTTATGTCGAATGAACTAAGCTCGATAGCCCATTTAGTAATTCTCCCAGATAGATCTGGCTTAGAGAGTATACCCCGTATAGGATAGTTGGTGAGTACCACAATGCTATGAGATTCAAAATAATGTCGAAGCTTCCTTTTGGCATAAACCAAGGCTATGATGATTTTCTCCGCTATGCTATACCATGTCTCGGCATTTGTCATTGTCTTACTTGTGTAGAAGACTGGATGTTGAATCTTTCCTTCCTCTCAAATCAATGCTGCACTTGTCATTATGCTAGAAATTGCTAAGTACATAATAAGAACCTCTCCGGGTTTTGGAGCGGATAGAATTGGAGGTTCGGCCATATAACATTTCAACTGATTGAGGACCTCCTGCTATTGAGGTCCCCATATATCCTTATTCTTAGATCTTATGGCATCAAAGAATGGTTTACACTTATCTGATAATCGGGATATAAACCGGCTGAGGGCTGCGATCCGACCGGTAAGAACTTACACCTCCTTACGATTTTTTGGTTCCTAATTCTGCATGAGGGCCTTAGCCTGAGCTGGGCTTACCTCTATCCCTCTTTTATTCACTATATGGCCGAGGAATTGACCTGCTGATACTGCAAAGGAGCACTTGGATGGATTCAGCTTCATGTTGTACTTCTTCAGAGTATTGAAAACTTCCTAGAGATGCTTTGGATGGTCTTCCTTCTTCACACTTTTGACCACCATGTCATATATGTATGCTTCAACTGTCTTCCCTAACAAATTGTCAAAGTTCTTGTTAACAAGGCGTTGATAAGTGGCCCCAGCGTTCTTCAGCCCGAAGGGCATGACCCTGTAACAATAAGTCCCCTTTTCTGTAATGAAATTCGTTTTATCTTCATCTTCTTGGTTTATAGGAATCTGATTGTATCCCGAGTACGCATCAAGGAATGTCAGCCTCTCGTAGCCAGTAGTAGCATCAACCATCTGATTTATCTTTGGCAGAAAGAAGCTATCTTTAAGGCAGGCTTTGTTAAGGTTGGTATAATCTACACAAACCCTCCACTTTCCATTCTTTTTTTGTACGACCACCACGTTTGACAGCCATTGTGGATATTGCACTTCTCGAATGAAACCTACTTGCAACAACTTGTTCACTTCTTCAACTATAATGCGATTGCGTTCGGGGGCAAACCTTCGGTGTTTCTGCTTTACCGGTTTAAACTTTGGATCCACCTTCAGGCTATGGCAGGAGACTAAAGGAACGATTCCTACCATGTCCGAGTGATCTCATGTAAAAGCATCTGCATTATTCCGAATGACATCAATTAATGCTTCATTTTCTTCGGAAATGAAGAAAAACCTCAATAAGTGACCTTCTAAGGGTCGTCCAGGATAACTTCTACGGCTTCGAGGGTCTCCTTGGTAGGCTTAACAATTTTCTCTTCCTCCTCCACCTTAAGATACTTAGGAAGAGGGCTCTGTAATTGCTATTTGAGTATATTTCTGGAAGTCATACCTGGTTGAGGCTGTCTAGATACCTTCTTTGCTTCAGCCTGTGTCAGCATATAACATTCCTTCATAGCGACTTGATCGCCCTATAGGTTAATCACCTCTTTTCCGTCCAGAGACAAGCACCGCATCACCTGACGAAGGGTGGACGAAACTCCTCTCATCCGGTGTATCCAGCCTCTTCCCATGATGAGATTATAAGAAGGATGGACCTCTGTTAAGACAGAGGTCTCCTTTAGAGTTCTCTTCGCCGCAGTTACGGATAAGTCTATTACTCTAAGGGGATCTACTCGTGTGCCATCAAGCCCTATCAATGGGCTAGAGGTAGGTCGAATAGATGATGATGGGATCTCTAGTTGCTCAAAGACCGTCTTTGTGATGATGTTGGCGTTACTCCCTAGGTCTATCAAAACCCTCTTGATCATGCAATTTGCCACTAAAAGACTGATGACCAATGGATCCTCATGGGGGAGCTGAACTCTGGATAGATTGCCATCACCGAATCCAATACTGATGTTACCTGAAGTGATAGCATTGATTGAGGATATCTTCCTGAGCTTATGGGTTGCCCTCAATCTGGATCTATATATCACCTCGGACTCTTGATCATCTTCAGATTTGCCATATATTGCATGAATGACCTTTAACTAAGTTCTTTCTACCTTACGAGGATAGAGCTCGTGGGGCTTCACATACTCCTTTGTCATGAGGTAGTCTGCCAACTCACCTCTTTCTATCATATTTTCCACTTATCGCCTAAGGGATCTGCAATCATTGGTTGAATGCCCATAATCTCGGTGATAAGTGCAATACTTGCTTTTGTCCCTCTACTCCAAGGGTTGCTTCATTGGCTGCGGGGCTGTGAACTTCATCTTATTCTCTTGGAAGAGCTAAGCCAAGGTAGTTCGGAGAGGTGTAAACCCTTCCTCTATCCTTTGCCGCTTCTCAGGTGCCTGGGTGATCGGTGTTGAGACGTGTTGACTTTTCTGAATCTTTGAATTTGGAATTCTCTCTCGAGGCTTGTTCTCCACTGTCATGAGGGTGGCGTGCTGCGCTAGGTGGGCTACATTTTCCTCGAGCCGAATGTAGATCTGGGCCCTAGCATTAAGAGTCTGCATATCGGGAGGAGAATACTTGACCAAGGAAGTGTGAAACTTCATCCCCTGAATCATTGCAAGTTTAAATGTTTCTATAGCAGTCGCGGGATGATAGTCTGCTATTTTCGAGGCTTCCATGTTGAATCTAGATAAGAAATCCTGCAGTGTTTCCCCCTTCTTTTGCCTTACGGTGAAGAGGCTAGCAATACTCTTCTTTTGCTTCTTATTTTCGCAGTATTGTGCTAGGAACATGGTGCACAGAGTTATGTAATCCGGGATGGACTTATGTGGCATATTCCTGAACCACTCTAGTGCTGCTCCTGTCAAGCTGGTAGGCTAAACTCTAAACATCCAAGGGTCATTACGGTCATCCAAAGCCATCTTTTGGTCGTAATGATCTAGGTGCCGAGAAGGATCTCCCGTACCGTCAAACTGAGTAAAAGAAGGCATGGTAAATTTCTTGGGCCTCTCAACCTTATACACATCGTCAGTGAAAGGAGTTTTGACCAGGGAGTTTTTGTGCTCTCTAGCCATCTCAACAGGTGTCTGAATCTTCAGGAGTCTTTTCTCATCAAAGGCATCTTGAACACTTGCACCATCTGGAATTCCATTGGACCACACTGTGAGCTTATGGCTAGACTCGACTTACTCGTCCTGCATAGGACGAGGGACGTTGTCTGAGGCACAGCCTCGGACCTTGCCCTCTATTGTTGTTGAACCTCGTTGGGTCGTGCCCCATTAGGTGGAAGCCCGTTAACTGGAGGAATATTCTGATTAGGGGGTGTTACTGTGTCACCTAGTGGTGGCGGTGGTGCCAACCGAGCCATCGCCATTTGCAGAGTGTTATTCTGCTGTTGAAGCAAGGCGATCTGAGCCACGCTAGCTTCATTTGCTTGACCAAGTATGTCAAACTGGTGTAGAAACTCTTCACGCATCTTCTGCATCAACTTCATCTATTGATCTGTTGAAGATCCTCCGTTCGACATTCCGGATGGTAATTACAGGATTCACTTGTGAAACAAGAGTGGGAATATATTTACACACGTTCCCACAGACGGCGCCAAAGTGTAGATACAAAATTCCGCTCAACCAATAACGATTGAGAAAAATAATACAACACACTCAAGAATAGTAAAAATAAACAAGAACAATGTATAGAGAAGTATAGAATTGCTTGGATCCTTTTATTGGAGGTCTGGGCCTCTATTTATACACAAAAATTGGTAAAATTAAAGTAGGACTTGCGTTGCTTGTCCTCCAATTCTTCCCATACATGACTTTCTTTGCAAATAGAGTTCTTTCTATTGTATAATATTTCCTACGTAGAACTTGCTTTGTATAGAACTTTCCTTCTGTGTTGAATCCTTTGCTTAATAGGACTGGATAATATTTAATTGTACTTGGGCCGGATGAAACTCGGTTTAACTGACCTGACCAATGGGCTAGAACTTCAACAATAGTGATGTTGGGCTGATTAATGTTTTTACCTGGCCTTGGACGTCCAATATAAATGATATTGGGTTAAAGAATAATGTAATTTGGGCTTGATCCGGATGGGCTTTTGAAATCTACCAAATGTAGATTTATATAGTGATGACGTGTTCAATTTTTATTAGAGGGAGATTCTTCCCTCCACAATAGACATGCCTTTGATTTAGAGCAACGACAATCTTCTGTTCGAACGCCAAAAATTGAATCTAGTAATTGCCACTTGAAACGAAGGTTCATGTTCTTTTAGATTATCAATTTTCTAATTACTCAAAGTCTTAGGCCCTAAATCTTGGATTTTCATCACCCTCTTTCTCTCTCTCTGAATCCTGATTAAGTCTATTTGTACAGCTGGTCTATTAGCCTGCTTGTTTTTTTATTACCCTTTTATTCGGTGACAGGGTTTCACAATGTTCTTAAATTTTTATAAATAAAAAAAATCAATAAATATAGATTGTTCAAATCAAAAGGCAAATAACAAAAAATGATTGTCAAATAATATGCTAATCAAAGAGTAGTAAAAGAAAGATAAATACGTGAAAAATAAAAATATATATATATTGATTGATAATATTTTCACCAAAATAAAATTACAACTGTCTTCGGCTCTTTATATTATTTTGAATGTGAGACAGACATTGAGTTGTGGAAAAATAAAAAGAAAAAAAATAAAATAAAAAGAAAGAAAAATAGGAGAATTAAGATTCGATTAATCATGAACAAAGGGAATGCAACTTTAAAGGAATTTTATTAGTAAAAGTGAAAGGACAAAAAGGGAAAAAGATAATTTTAATAATTAAAAATTTTAGGGGAGTGGAGAGCATACTATCAAATTTCTTACATATATATATAAAGATGTAAAACTGTTGGAAAAATATATAATTTTATATATTTTTGTTCCTAAATATTAATTTTATATTTTCAACAGTGATCAAGTACAAAAGGGCGGTTTGTATTTGATGTAGATTGCCAATGTCTATATTGCCCATATGAAATGGGATTTTCTGTCATGGAAAGTATCTCCTACTTTCCTTTTCATAATTGTTAGAGGGACCTTTCCTTATTTGTTAGATTTTGTTATGCAACTTAATTATGCCTTTCTTTCAACTTTCCTTAGGTTTCGTTATGCAACTTAATTAATTATGCCTTTCTTTCAACTTTCCTTATGTGTTAGGTTTCGTTATACAACTTTTGTATTATAAATGGACTTGGATCCTCTAAGTTATCCTAAATTGAATTTTCTATAGAATGACATGTGTCATTTAAGATATATCTCTAATTTATTTTAAATCACTTCAACTAATTTAATAAAAGTTAGGAAACTGCACGTTTTAAAATAGAAAACCTTTAAAATACCTTCACCATTTATATTTCGAGTAAAGATACTTGCACTGATTTATTACAGTGAATTACCTAATCGAATATTTAATATATGTAAGTGGAGGGCACCACTCCTTTATTTATGCATAAATGGATCGATTAAAAAAAATAGGTCTGACAATTCATTACAACAAATCACATAAATAAGAAAGTAAGGCCCTCCATTTACATGTACTATGCATAAATAACTAAGAAACATTCGGTGCAACAATTCGGTGCCAGTATCATTACTCTTATATTTCAGTTTAAATCTAAATTTGAATCTGCATAAAAATGCATATAGTTATTACCAACCAAAGATTTAGTATTTCTAAATAATGAATATCATGGCAAACTATGCTCAAATCTTAAATTTTACAAAATTCATCTAATTGTATACTATTAAATTAAAAACCTACTATTCAAGTTTCATTAATCAAATCATCTTTATCCAAGCCAATACTATTATTTCAAAAAGAGGGTGAGCAACTTTTTTTTGGGGAAAAGAGGAGAGATATTATAGGAGAGAGATGTTTACGTAAAACTTTTTATCTTAAAATAGTATAGTTTTTAAAATTTTATTAGATTAGTTGATGTGGTTTAATATAGGCCGCAAATATATTCGCGTCATTATGTAGAAAATTCAACTTATGATAAGTTAGAGAAATTTTAACTTAGAGGATCCAAGTCCATTATAAATACCTCCTCTGTGTTTTGTTAGGTTTTCATGCAATTAATAATTTTTTTCAGTGTTCTCTTGGCTTATACTTTCTGGATTCAAAGTTGATTTATTTATTTATTTTTTTCAGTTAAAGGGTAAGCTTGTATAGATGTAAAAAATGTACAAGAGGGTCCTATCCTATAAGATAGGAACAACAAGTTGCACAAGGCAGCAGCAGAATCCCAGCGAAATACAAATGCTAGGAACCAGTCCTAGCAAGCAAAATACGTAAAAGGCTACAGAACTAGACTCCTACAAGTTCAAGTGAACCTAAAGCAAAACAAACATAAGAAGCAAGCATCCAAGCAAGCATCTTCCAGTAGACACTTCATTTAAAGCGACCAAGTTTAAGGGACAGTTAGAGCCTGAGCACAAGCAAAGCTGCATCCATCCAAGAACAGTTTCAACAAGTCTTCAAGTCTCCTAATATTTCTCAGATCAGAAGCATTCTTCAGCTTAATTGAGGCTAATCTTCCTTTTAAACATTTCTTAATCTAAGAAATGACTAAGGATGAGGAAGAGGATGTGTTCCTGAAGGCCCTATTATTTCTTTCCATCCATAGAAAGTAGACAGCAGCAGAGAGTAGTAACTTATGCACCAGAAAATCATTAGCACTCCAATGAGCAGAACACCATAAGATCAGTTCTTTCCAACTAGATAGCTGAATGTACAACCCAATTGTGTGTTGAATGAATGACCACACCACCTTTAAGAACTTACACTAGAAGAATATATGGTCCAAGGATTCATTGTTGGCTAGGCAAAGAAAGCAAGCATTAATGTGATGTTTATGCTTCCTAGGTTTTCTGTCAAAAGTATAGAGTCTACCTTTTGTTGCTAACCAAGCAATAAAGCTATGCTTGGGAATATGATGTTTAAACCAAATGGTCTTATGCCATGGGAAAATGAAAGTGGGAGGGAGGAGGTATTTGATTGTATGAGAAAGGGAGAAATTGCAGCTAGATTAAGGTAACCATAAAACTGTATCAGTATTGGTGGAAGGGTTAGACAGTTCATTTAGTTGAGTGTGAAAGTTCTGTGATTGAAAGAAGGGAATGTGACCAAGTGAGTCAGGTACAACCCAATGATTCAAGGAAATTAGCCTATCAACTTTGACTCTTAAGTCCAGTTGAAGAATTTCCCCATCATTCAAAGTTGATTTATTGTTACAAGGTAAGAAACTTATGAATTTTGGGCTTATATTGATTACAGTGTTATGCTAAAAAAAAAAAATTAAAAAAAATTAATACCCGAATTATGTATCATGATAATAGAGTAAATTGTAGAATTATTTGATATTTCGGGGTACTTTTTTGATCCATATGCTCATATAAACAGGAAGCCCTTCGTTTCTGCTTTGCTACCTCAACATGGCATCAGTGATCATTCAGAACCTAAAAAGCATAGTAGGGATGTCTAATGCGGATAGTAAGTTATCCACAGCCTGCAAAGTTATTTATTTATTTATTTTTTCTTATACCTTTACATTACACGATTTAAAAAGTATTTACTAATAAATAAATGTTATATAATATCGTTTCTTTCTATACATGCACACAAACATTGTGGAAAGTGTAATGCCATATTTCAGAGCTCTTTTTATTTAATTTGTACATGGATTCAAAGTTATTTGTTGTTAATTGTTCATTTGTGATCGTTGGTTTGACTTGAAGGTTCTAAATTCCATGAACTCCATTATAGATGACAGTTCTCTCAGTAGATGTGGATTTTATTTGACTCTTACAATTATCTAAGGAATGTGGATAAAGCTGCTATTTTTTTAGCATTGTTTTATGTGAAATTAGTGATATAATCTGTCAACCTAGCTTTACTATCTTCACCTTGTAACTGTTAGGGATATTAGTTTTCTGATTGTAAAATACTTCTATTTAGGGAATGGAAAAAAAGTTTTAAAAATATTTAGAAATAATTAAACAACAAGTATAATTATATCAGAGAAAGATAGTTCTAACCTATTAATGGAGAGGCACACAATGCGTTGTCTTAAATCCTTTGAAGTCTCCCTTATGCGGTGGTAATTACAATCCACCATAGGCTCCAAGCTACAACTCTAATTATTCCCTATGCGCACGATCACATAGAAATTTTCAACAAGTTTTGATGTGAGGTTGCCCCAAAATTGAATATAAGAAATAGAGAATATATATGGTAGGAGTAAACTGTATAATTGCAAAGAGAATGTGATTGCAGAGAGAATATGTAGGTTTTTTGAGAAAAGAAGAGAACTTGTTTGATTGATTTTTTCCGCTACTCACAACCTATATATTTATAGACTTTATCACGTCTTTTTGTTTGGCTAAATCACTATTAACTCTTCTTAACCGTTAGTCTTTAATTAATTACTTTAATTTCCTTAAGGTTATTATTATTATCACATGCAGTTAATTAGTTATTTAGTTAAGGGCTTTTGAATTTCTAACCGATAGGAATTCTAGAAGTCAAAGTTTTAAAACTTCTCTTATAACTCAAACAAAAACTATGATCTAATCTATATGGAAGTATGAAGTTTTTAACTTGTTATATATTAAAAAGGGGAGAGAATGCTTTTCTTGTTTGGTTTTGGCTTGAAGTTTAAAGTGCTTAATGCTTAGCTCAACCTAGGAAAAAGAATATTATTTATTGTTCAAGTTTAAGCTTGGTTTTATTTTGTTTTGACCATTTTGATTCACTTTAGAGGCAATCAACCTACTGAGCTCCAAAAAAATAAATGCAATGAATGTCCAAAACCCAAAACTTTAAAGCTGCATATGCATGTTAACAACCACCATGTTCTAAAAGCCTAAGCGATTAGAACGGGAGTAATTTTAAGATTTAAATCCTTTAACACACCCTTCACGTGTGGCTTTCTTTTTGTCCAACTCGTATTTTTTAATTTTTAATTAGGTGATGGTGATGTTTGAACTCGAGACTTTTGATTTTGATACCATGTTGACAACCTTGTACTCTAAAAGCTTAAACTATTCAAAATGTTACTTTAATATTTAGATCCTTCAATTGGACATACATAACTAGGTTTTGGTAAAGAACTTCAACAAATGAACACAAGTAAATGAATTTGGTGGGACAGTACTTTGATTTTGCAAGGTGTCTTTTAGCATGCCAAGTGAATTTTTACTGAATCATCCAGATTGATCTGGACATATATAAACATGGAGTCCTTTAATATTTTACCACCTAAGCCTAGCAGAAGTCATCACCAATAAAGCCACAAGACGTTATAAATTCCTTCATTTTACATTCAGCAGAAAAAATGTCATCTAACATAATTGACGCAGTTGGTAAGTTATATTTTATTTTTATTTCCCTATTACATAATTTATATACGCTGAGTTTTGGTGATGTTAAATATATATTTGTCCATCTTCAATCTGTATCAGAGCTTTAAAGAACATTGCGTGATGTCCACCCATCACATTACATCTTCAAGATACAGTCTTTCTCTATGCTTTTGAAAAATATTGGAAATTACGAATCAGAAGTTTTTGAAGCTGGCGGCTATAAGTGGTGTGTTTTTCTATTTTCTTTGTTCCATACTCTTTAGTCTATACATGTTCTCTACATCAAAACCAAATAAATCACATTTTTGTATTTTTGGGTTTTCAGGAAATTGTCTTTCTATCCAAATGGGAATAAGAAAAGAAAGGGGAAAGATCAGTACATTTCACTATACCTCGCAGTATCCGACACAGCTAATCTTCCTTCTGATTGGGAGATCATTGCGAACTTTAAATTATTCGTCTTTGATCATTTACGTGACAAGTACTTAACTGTCGAAGGTAGTTTTTCTACTACGCATTCAATTTTCTGAAATCTGATATAGCAACATAATATTTAAATAGAGAGATATCCATATATTATGTAGATGCTGAACCAGTGAGGCGTTTCCATGGGAATAAGACAGAATGGGGTTTTGAGAAATTTCTCTCTCTCAAGAAGTTCCAAAATCTATCAAACGGGTACGTCATCAATGACACCTGTGTATTTGGAGCAGAGGTTTTCGTTATGAAATATTCAGGCAAAGGCGAGTGTCTGTCCATGACAAAGTTACTAAGTAACAAAATGTGTCTGTCCATGACAAATTTACTAAGTAACAAAATTTACACTTGGAAGGTTGACAAATTTTCAGATTTAATTGAAGAATATCTACGCTCCAACGAGTTTAAGATTGGAGGGCGGAGCTGGTATGATAAAAAATTTTGTGTTTTTGTTTTTTTTTTAAAAAAAAAAACTTGGATGTTCTCAATTTGAAACTGGCTCGTTTGATTTCTAAGGCAAGCTATTATTTGTTTCTTTTTATAATGAATTCAGGAAGCTCTCTCTCTATCCCAAAGGAAATTGGAAGTCAAAAGGCAAAAGCCTATCTCTGTATCTGAACCTAGTTGATTCTTGAAAACTGTATGCAAAATTCAAGCTGAGGATAAGGGATGAAGTCAATTGTAAACACTTTGAAGGGGAATGTAAGAATTGTATTTCTACTCTCAGCTGCTCCGGATAAACTTGTTTACTGCAAGAACTTTTTCTTTTTAGAGGGATTGAAACTTTTTTTTTGGTGATTTTTTCTTTTCTTTTTGTTAATTTTCCTTCAAAATTTATCTTTGCAGCTAGTGTCTGTTTCTGTGCCAGGATTCCAAGCTGGGGATTCACAAGCTTCATGCATCTAAGTAATCTCTTCGACAAATCAAAGGGCTTCAAGGTGAAAGATACTATAATTATTGAGGTAGAAATTGTAACGTTGTCCGAGACTAATTCCATTATGTCTTCGGAGGAGAAGAAACGAGACAAGTAGAGGTGGGTGAAGGAATTACAAATTATAGCTGGCAATATTGTAGTGGATTTTAATTGATTTTATTTCCTTTTATCATTTAATTATCAGTTTATGATTTCTTTATCTTATTTGAGATTTTGTTTCTCTTCGTTAAAACATCTCATCATAATTCATTTTTGTATTGTTGGTCCTCCATGTGGAATTCCAAACATGGTGAATAATGATCCAACTTGGAAGAATTTAATAAATGATAGATTTAAAATGATATTTTTTTTTTGGGTTACCGATAAATCAATGGACTGGAGCAAAGGGGTGTGATATATATTCACACGTATCATGAATTCATTATTTTTGACAGAATTATCCTTACAAATAATCTTTCACTTCTTGATTTGAATCTTCCGATTTGAATTTTCTTTTTAAATCTTTTTTTAAAAAAATCCTTAATATACAGGCACTCATGCATGGAATCATCAATTTTTTTATACTGAACTAATATGTAACCCGTTGACAAATTGCAAACCTTAACATCCTTTTCACAAGCAAAAATGTATGCACTTGCTACTATTTGAATTGAAAAGAAAAACGTTTTTAAAAAAAAAAAAAAAACCTTATTGACAAATTAAAACCTATCCGGCCGGAACACTTCAGCATCTTCCCACAATAATGGATCCCGCGCAATTGCCCAAACATTGATTAATACTTGTGTACCGGCTGCAATGTCGTAGCCCATTACATTGACATCTTGAATAGCTTCTCGAGGCATTAGAAATGGTACTGGAGCATGTAACCGAATAGACTCCCCGATCACCGCCTTCAAGTAATGCATTTTCTCTAAATCATCCTCGGTTATGTCGTCTTTGCCTTTGGCAATTCCTCGAACCTCATTCTGCAGTTTCTTCATGACTTTTGGATATCTTAAAAGCTGTGTCATTTCCCATTCAATAACTGCGGATGAAGTATCGGTTCCACCTACAAACATATCCTACAAGAAACAAAATATTGTAGGTAATCTACAAGTTGCCAATGTCAGTCATACAAAATGAAATCGCACGGCAGTGATAAATTCCCAATTCCCTCTATTACTATTGTTGGAAGATGTTACTATTGTTTGGAGAATATGGTAGAAGTGATTTAAACCTTTAAATCATATGCAAAGGTATATATTAATTGTCACTATATAATAATTCTTTCTTGATAAATAATGTGTGCAATGGAGGAAGTGGCCTTCAATCAGCATGGAAAATTAAGTTAGGGAAGCATTATGCGTTCAAAGTTGAGTTTATTAACAAATTATCCAAAAGAATATTGGTAAGTAGATTGCGTTATACTATTTTATGTGAGTAGGAGATAACATCATTAAATATGATGATATCATCATGTCATCTCTCACTCAATGGAATGTATCCGACTCTTGGACTTTGTGTCATTACTTTATAAAAATAAAAATTAAAAAATCAAAGAGACAATAAGTGGTTATCATAAATAATTCATGCCTAGATCAATTTGGTAAGTGTCTATGAATTTTAGTGTGAGAGATAAAGTCAGACTTACCAAGATGAGAGCTTTAATGCTGTCTCTGTGAAGAGGAAAGGCAGTAGTACTGCTGTCCCTTTGAATTTCAAGCAGCACATCTACAAGATCCTCTTGCCCTTCATCATGTTCATTACTCCCACAACCATCGATGTCTCTTTTTTGACGATCCATATGCTCTTCTACCACTCCCTCCAAAAACTTATCGAGCACTTGAAAAACTTTCTCGACTTTACCATTCAAACCATTGATATGATTCAACCATGAAAGCCATGGGATATACTCCCCCGCATTGAAAACACCCGAGATCGAGACCTCCATAAAATCACGAAACAAAGAATATCCTTTAACTTTATATCACCTTCCACGCGGTTACTGTATTTCTTTCCCAAGGCCACGCGACAAAGAATATCATTTGTCCGTAAGATTATATTTTCTGTCAAATTTACTGGTGAAGAAGAAGACTGTTTAATCTTCTCCAATATAAGGGTTGTTTCTTCTTCTCTCACTCTACGGAAAGACTCAACCCTTTTGTTACTAAGAAGGTGAAGCGCACAAATACTTCTTAGTTGCTTAAAATACTCTCCGTACGGAGCGAATACCATGTCCTTGTCATACGTAAGTCTACTGGGAATTCTTGATTTAGGTCTGTTCGAGAAGTTGAGATCATGGGTTTCCATGATCTCGTGAGCTGCATCAGCAGAGGAGACGATGAGAGCAGGCTTGCTGCCGAAGTGAAGCAGCATGAGCTGTCCATATTTTTGAGCTAATGATTGGAGGGATCGATGAGGGCTTAATCCAAGTTGGTGGAGATTTCCAATAATTGGGAGCTTTGATGGAGAGGGTGGCAGATTTCTTTGCGGTTTTTGGTTGGACAACCATTTCAGAAGGAATACTAAGAAGAACAAGGGAAGAAGAGAGTAAAATAAAGAGTAGAATAAGAAGACCATTTTTTTTTTTTTTTGGGCTCTAGAATCAATGGAAAACTTTACCTTAATTGTGTGCGAGTATAGTTTCTGCTGCTAGAGGGCTATATATAAGTGTAGTCTACTGAATGAAATGTTGAACTATATATGTTAAATCTTGTAAACAATTCATATAATATAGAACATTTCTGCATCATGACATGCAACTGTGATATCATATCGAACTAACCAAATATGAAATTCACAAAGATGAGAAGACAAACAATAATACAGCATTTTTAAATGAAACGTTTTGATCCTCCAGCCGCCTCACGTAATCACATTATATATAATCTGCTACTAAATGATATTTGGTTTTGTAATATCCAAATAAGTCCGGGTCGGGGCTTACAAATTCTTTTTCCAACCATTGGACATGTTACATGACAAGTTAACAACCCAACACCATGTCAAAGGATTGCTAATTTATTTTTAAAAGGAAATTAAAGTCTATCATGTTTACTTTCATGACAAAAAATAACAAATTATGTGAATATACAACAATATAAAGCATACAAGACGGCAAGACCACAAACAAGGTGTGCTATATCAATACATGACCAAAAATACCAACTTTTGTTGATGGCAGTGGGATGGATAGACATATAGCAAGAGCTTTAGAAATACTTAATTAATTTTACTTTGTCTCAATTGGAAGAAGAAGACTGCCACCCAACGCCATTGTTGGATTTTTTTTTGGCTGTTCATTGTTGAACCGCGGTAGGGAAGGAAAGAATTTTTTTCTTTTTTTCTTTTTTCAAACAACACTGGCATATATACTTGAGATTTTCTTCATTATTTTGACACTATTGCAAAAGATGGGAAGGATTGATTTTTTATAAAAAAAAATACTCAAACACCACGATTTACTTGGTTTAGTTTTAGCTCAATTACATGTATAGTTTTGTCATTTTTTGTTAATAATAAATAATTGTAATAGAAAAACAAGGAAGTTAATTAAAATATGAAAATGGAAAGCTTATTAACTAATTGTCTAGGATTAGATTATAAGTTTAGGATTAAAAATGAGTATACTATTCTCTCTACTCATCAAAGAACAGTTGAACACCACTATATATATATATATATTATATATACTTACACAACCTGATATTATGTAAAATTTTAAGAATTAAAATTTAAGTGCTAATTAAATGGTTTGAATAATGAGAATGGCATCAGCAGTAGTAATCCTGTTGGTGCAAATAGCAGCAATACACAAATAAAAGTTTTAAATTACATTGTTTATATCTCTAAAAGGTGTAGTTTTTCTCCTTGATCGCGTTTCTCTCCTGTTTCTTTCCTTAAATTGTGTTAGGTTTTCTATCACTTCTTCTATTTTCTCTCTTAAAAATTTAATAGAAAATGGTTGTACTTGGTCAGACGAGTTTGAAATCGGAGGACAAAAATGTTATGTGTTTTATTATCATTATTATTATTTATAATAAAGAATCAACCTATCCACTAGTATGCATTATTTTTGAGAAACTACATTCCATGCGGCTTTTTGTAATGATTTCAGCAATCTATTTTTCTATCCCAAAGGATACGGAGAGGGAAAAAATCAAATACCTGCCCTCTTTCTAGAAGTTCCTCTTAATTGGAAAATATACTCAAAGTACAAACGGCCGATGAAGACCAAGTCGGAAGCAAACACCATGAAACAGAAGGTGAAAACCATATGCTTTGACTTTTTTTTTTTTTTTCTTTTTCTTTTTCTTTAGTTGTTGTAGAAATAGAAAGGTGTTGAACTAATAATTGTTGATTTACTTTCTACCTTTATTATTGTTTAACTAATTACTTTCCGTTCAAATATATCTTTGCAGTGAGTGTCTGTTTTCATTGCTCACAAGCCGACTGGGGTCTCAGGCGGTTCATGTTGCTAAGTGATCTCCATGACGATTCAAAAGGTTTCTTAGTGAATGATTAATAAGCTTTCCAATTTCATATTTTAATTAACTTCCTTTTTTTATTTATTTATTATCATTCTTTATTTTTAATGAAAAGTGACAAAACAAGACATGTAATTAAAGGAAGCTACTGTAAAACTAAGGTGGTGTTTGGGGAGCTTCTTGGGGCTTGAAAGGGGCTTCCTAGCCCAGGAAGCCTTTTCCAAAAAAATGCCATTGTTACTAAACAGAAGAAAAGGACATTGAATGAAAGCCGAAGTCCAGAAACGCCCGTTTAAAAGAAGCTCAAAAAACATACTTCCTGAACTGGCTTCTCGAGAAGCCGGGCTGTCACTTAAGTAATAAATTTTATGAACATTTTGTAGGTGTAATTTTTCACACTCGAACGCTTACAGAAAATATACCAAAAAGAGTATGAACAAGGGAGCAGGAATAGAGCCCACCAAAATTTAGGGATCCAGGATGCTCCATCATTTCTTGTGTCATGGAAATCATAAATTGAGAAGGCATTACTTGATTGAGGGGCTAGTGTCGACCTATTGCCATATTCTGTTTATGTGCAATTTGGACTTGGTGAGTTAAAATCGACTTCTATAAAACTACAGTTGGCTAATAGATCTCTCAAAATTCCTCGTGTTGTTATTGAAGATGTTCTAATCAAGGTTGACAAGTTTATATTCACCATGGACTTTTTCGTTATAAATACACAACCAGGAATCCTTGCTCGCTGTCAAGTCTGGCCACTAATCCTTATAGTTGCTACCTCGTGCTGATTTGTCGCCAGGATCCTCTCTGAGTTTTGACATTCTTTGAATCAACGGAGGCCTTCGAATCACTCCCTCAACGTCGCCTCTTCTTCTCCGACGTCTTGACGCATGCGATGGATGCAGAGAGAGGTTTAGGAGAGAGAGAGGAGAGAGAGAGAGTAAAGAGAGTCAAGAGACTTGTAATCCAAAAATAAATAAATAAATAAATTAAAGGTTAGCAGCCAATAGGCTGCCGACACGTAAGCAAAGTGTGCTAACATGTGAGGGGTATAAAGTTCTAACAAAATAAGAGTAAAATGCACTTGAAACAATAAAGACTAATTTAGGCATTTTAGTGTGTCAGAACAAATTGGCTGAGGTTTAATCTGAGTGTAATAAACCCAAACCGGTTTAATCTGAGTGTAATAAACCCAAACCTCAGGTGCTGTTAGTCCATTTAACCTTATAAAAAAAAAAAAAAATTTATTTTTCATTTTGACAAAAGGGATTTTTTTTTTTAGAGCATGTGTATCAACCCCACAACATATACACCATCAAGTTAGGAGTGTGGTTCGAAAGTAAGACCTCAAAAACTTATTTCCCGGATCCCTGCCAATACCGCTATGACCCTGGGGACAAAAAATAAATTATTTTTATTGTACAAATTATTTGTTACATATATAACACTACAACATATTAGGTTTTTACCAGCGCTTCTAGAAAAAGCACTGGTATAGGTCTAATATTACCAGCGCTTTTTTTAGAAGCGCTGGCATAGGTGTAATGGTAAGCGCTTTTTTAAAAGCGCTGGTATAGGTGTAGTCGTACCAGCGTTCTTTGTAGGAGCGCTGGTATAGGTGTAATCGTATATACCAGCGCTTTTAGGAAAAGCGCTGGTATAAGTGTGATCGTACCAGCGCTTTTTTTAAAAGCGCTGGTATAGGTGTAATAGTACCAGCGCTTTTTGTAGGAGCGTTGGTATAGGTGTAATAGTACCAGCGCTTTTTGTAGGAGCGCTGGTATAAGTGTCCCCATTTTTTTTCCCTTCCCTCCATTTTTTCCCTCCATTAATATATATAGAATATTTGGGCCCTAAAACTACATCATTTCATTTTGCAATAGCCCTAATCCATCAGCCGTTCTCTCGCCACAGTCTCGCCCTTCCATCACCGGTTGCGCCTTCCATCACAACTCTCTTATCACGCCGTTCTCTCGCCTTCCATCTCAGCCGTTCTCTCGCCTTCCATCACAGCTCTCTCATCACAGTCTCGCCCTTCCATCACCGGTCGCACCCTTCCATCACCGGTCAACGATTCGAACTTCTTCAAGTGAAAGCTTGAACCATCACTCTCTCTGTCTTCCTATTCCCAACCCAACCATTCCTATTCTAGACATTATCTAAGTAGATTTTGAAGCAATTCGGCTTCGAGTGCGTAGGGGAAGAAGTGCCGTCATCAAGCCAGGAATGCGGAAACAGCCAAAGCAGTACACAAGATCAGGTGGGTTTGATCATGTCAATTTATAGAATGAGAATTCTTATACAAATATTGCTTAAAGGCACTTCTATTTATTTATCAAGTATTATATGAACTTTCAATGATAAGCATTTAATTTGACTCTAATTTGATAAACAATGAAAATTATTACTCTCCCCCATTTTCATTGATTTTCTTTTCCCGTGTTTATAATTCTCCAAGTACGAATCATGAAACCATAATTTCGAGTTGATGAGGAATGAAATTTGTTGACAGCTTAGCGACCAGAGAATTTGGGAGCGTAACTATGATCATTGCATAGTGTTCCAGTGTAATAATTTTCTCAATGTCAAAATGACTAATTTGTTTTAAGTTTATTTTAGGAACTTTGGAAAAGTATAGAATTTACTTGGGTTTATGAGTCCAGAGGTAATGATTTGGTTTTGTTGCATACGGACTATAGTTACTTTTTCTAATTGAAGATAAATTTTGATTATGAATATGGTATTATTGCCTTCTCAATAAATCCTTATTTGGAGAAATTTGGCTGGTTGTGGGATCAGCAGAGGAAACGAGCAGATGCTGTTGTCATGAGAAAATGTTTTAATCTACTTGGAATTGAACCTGTCTACAGGATATAATTCTCAACAGTTAATTGAATGTTTTTTAATATGTAGTTCTTGGCATTTTAAGGTGTAAAGCTATGCCCTTGCAAAAAAGAGGTGTTTGGTAGTCCATTAAGAAGCAGCATCATATACATGCTTAATACTATATATTGTTGTTATATGATATATATGTTTTCACGTCAATACTTCTAAAAAAGATGGAATCGATATTTAGTCGTGGACTATATTTTTGAATCATAGAGGGTGTGTGCTTAGAAGAATATTAGTAAATGTCGAATCTATTTATTAGCAATGGCAAAGGACTGTTATGCTAATGGTCCAGGTGATACAAACAGGAAGCTCCGAGTTTGGAATCACAAACTTATACATTATCAAAATAAACATGAACAACAAGTATATAACATAATTGTGAATAGAAAATCAAGTGGAATAATTCTAAATGCTAGTAAATAAACGCGCGCGCGCGCACACACACACGGACACACACACACACACATATATATATATATATATATATATATATATATATTAATGATATATATAGTATATAACAGTAGCAGAGGAGGTCTTATTCTGCCTCTAGAAACCCTGACAGGGATCTAGATCCAATCAACTTGCTTCCCTCGCGAAAACATGAACAACAAGGCAACACCATATATAAAATCTGTGTCTCGTGGTCTCTCTTACATTATTAGAGTCCCATTTGACTGATTCTTTTATAGAGATCACATAATTGTGAATAGACAATGTGTTCCTTTCAATTACAAGAAGAAAAAAAATGAACTTGAAAATTAATTTCTTTTGGCAATTCCAATAATATATATAAAGATTCTAGTTGCCACTGTTTGGATTGGTAGTTTATCATTATACTGTATAATCATCGATCTCTTTTTTTTTTTTTTCCCTGAAATTCAAGCAAATAAAAAAATATAGGGGTGTATAATCATCTTTGTTATATACTTGAAAGGTACATACATGTATATAATGAATGTATATCCTTATAATTTTTTTATATGTATTAAATATATTTTTAACAATACAAGTATGCTTCATGAACCTACTAATCCTTATTTTAAGGTTACATTTCTATTATCTATTGAAAATGATGTATAAGAAAAAGTTGTATGTAAATGTACTGTTTTATGTTAGAGGTCAAGAAAAATGCCTCTTGATTCTTGAATATGGACCTAAATTTTTTGAATTTAATGAAATGTCGAGGTAAGTGCCGATGTTGAACGCCTCTATCCTTTTAGTTTCAAATAAGTTGTTCAGAATGTTCAATGCATTTTTCTGTATCGCCTTTGCACTTCTCACTTGTGTTGAAAGGTCTAACAGCAAGCCACCTTATTTCTTGCCTAGGCTGGAAATTTTCTCTCTAAATAATTAAAGTACATGTTATATACATAGTACACACACACACATATAGAGAGAGTATGTGTATGGACCATATCCCATGTGGGGGTGATTAGCACCCTCTATGTTCCATTACATAGAAGATTCTGAGATTGGGTGTGAAAACAGTAGTTTCAAGGTTGAAAGTACTTATCTCCACATTTGCATTTCCAAGAGAGAAGATAGTAGTTCTCATCTTGTATAGCTGCTTGTTTCCTGGAATTATATTTGGTGTGGGGATGAGTAACTAAAGCAGCTATGCAAGGTCTGCAACCAAGGCACCTTTTCATACACTGAGGGGACCTTGAACCCAACACACCTTTCATTTGCCTCATACCCACAATCTCCTCTAGGCTCTAAATACAAGTATGCTTCATGATAGACAAGGTCTAATTTTGTCCTCTACTAATACCAACATCTAGATATATTTTAAGGTTACATTTCTATTATTTTGTTAACCAATTTTTTTGCATTCAACTTTTTCTTATATATCATTTTCAATATATAATATAGCCAATTTATTCAATTTTCTTACTGTTGTATTGTGTTGCATTTTAATGAAAAACAATATTTTTTTTTTAATAATCAATATCCACATGTGCATATGGGTGTTTGGGCATATGTAAATAATTACTTGGTCAGATTAGTGTTTTCATATAATATTCGGTTTCTTTTTTTGTCAAATACAATTTTGTTCTCTTGTTTGCCTTCTACTTGAACAAAAAATTATGTTTTTTTATGCTACAAGACACTGAGCTTGCTATGTTCTTGCTATTGCTAACAGTGTGACCACTATAATTCAGCCTTTGTCTCAGTTTCCTTCGCATTAGCAATCAAGAAGGGGATAACTCGCATTTGATTAGCTAATATTCTTTGAAGGTATTGATGATTGCTTTTCCTACTTTTTAATTTTTTATCTATTCATTTAAAATTATTCCTTATGAGTTTCATTAGTTCATCAATATATATATTCTACTTGTTGAATGATAGGTAAATTAACCTTGGTATATCATCTTGTTGAATTGTCAGCTCTTACAAATAATCGTGTTGTAATATGTTTTTATTTTGATTAATACAAATAATTTATTTATGTTCATGTGGAACTTTTAGAGATTTGAACTATTATCTGTTACTTTCTTGCTGTACACAATGGACCCATCTTGCATAATGATATTTTACTAAAAATTTACGATCATTCTTAGGAACCCTTGCTACATTTTGTTGAGGAATTTGTTTTGATGGAGTAGTCATGATTTTTTTTGTACATGTTACTTTTTTATTCGTTTCAAATACCTTGACTAAATTGTTATTATGTTTTCCAATAATATATTTCTTGTCCATATATTTTATTTAGGTTACTTGATGTAATATCATGGATAGAAGTTGGATAACTCAGTCAAGGTACTTCAGATTGTAGTTTGATTAGGTTACTTAATCTAATAACAACAATTTAAGAAATTTGATTTTTTATATGCATTACTATGCAAATAGGTTAAGGTCAGCATACTTGCGTGGAGTTGAAGAGTTTCCAGATATCTCATTTGAGCGAGTTGGGAAGGATGGGCGTATATATTGTCCTTGTATTGATTGTGGCAATTGTATAAAAAAACCACGTTCTGAGGTGAGAGATGATTTGGTATGCAATAAGTTTATTCAGTCATACACAACTTGGTTTTATCACGGGAAGAAGTGTCGTCATCTTCTCAGCAAACTGATGTACACACAACACACGAGGGTTTTGGTGTTCCAACTGAAGGGAGGGAAGAGACCAACGGAGAAAATGATCAGCACCAAAGGGTGTCAAATGAAGAGTTAGATAAATTTTATAGGCTATTAGAAGATGCAAACCAAGAGTTATATCTTGGGTGTAAAAAGTTTTCAAAGTTATCCTATGTAGTGAAGCTATATTTAATGAAGACTAAATATAATTGGAGTGACAAATCATTCACTGATCTGTTAAAAGTGATAAAAGATGGATTACCAGATGGCGAGACATTACCAAAAACCTTCAATGAAGCAAAGAAGATGATTGGTGACCTGGGTCTTAAATATGATAAGATTCATACATGTCCCTCTAATTGTATGTTGTATTGGAAGGAGCACTCTAATGATGAAATGTGTCATAATTGTGGCAAGTCAAGGTGGAAAGTTTTTGATTCAGAAACTGAGGGCAATGCAAGTACATCATCCGCATCAACAAATAAAAAAATTCCTGCTAAAGTTATACAATATTTTCCTTTGAAGCCAAGACTCCAAAGATTGTTCATGTCAAGTAAGACAGCTTCTTCTATGAGATGGCATGCCGAAGAGCGAATCAAGGATGGATTGATGAGACATCTCGCTGACTCCCTAGCATGGGATAGCTTTGATAAAAGATACGTAACATTTTCTAGTGATCCTCGGAATGTCAGGCTTGCATTAGCAACTGATGGGTTCAACCCATTCAAGACCATGAGTGTTGCACACAATACATGGCCTGTTTTGATACTCGTGTATAACTTACCCTCATGGATATGCATGAAACAGCCTTATTTTATTCTATCAACCTTAATACCTGGCCCTAAGGGACCTGGAAATGATATTGATGTCTATTTGCAGCCTTTGATAGAGGAATTAAAAGAGTTGTGGATTGATGGGGTGGAAACTTATGATGCTTCAAGAAATGAGATGTTCCGTATGCATGCAGCATTGTTTTGGACTCTTTCTGACTTTCCTGGTTATGCAATGGTATCCAGTTGGAGTACAAAAGGGTATTTGGCTTGTCCTACTTGTAACAAAGACACTTGCTCTCATTTCTTAGATCATAGCAAGAAAATATGTTATGATGGGCATCGTTGTTTTCTTGAAAAAGATCATAAATATAGGCGTTGTAAATCAGCATTTGACGGCACTGAAGAGGTAAGGTGTGCACCGCCTATGTTATCTGGACCACAATTGTTACATGAATTAGAGGGCCTTAAATTTCCACCATTTGGAAAGAGTGTGCATACAATGAATGAAGATCGGAAACGTGAAGATCATACGCGACCGCCGCACAATTGGAGAAAGAAGAGTATATTCTTTCAATTACCATATTGGAAGTATAATCTTCTGCGTCATAATCTAGATGTGATGCATATTGAAAAATATATATGTGACAATATACTTCACACATTGATGAATGATCAGAAAGGGAAGGATGGATTAAAAGCAAGACTTGACCTACAGGATATGGGAGTAAGGCCTTCACTTCACCCACAAGAACATGGTTCAAACAAATTTTATTTGCCCCCTATAAGTTTCACGCTATCTTCACTTGAAAAGAGCACATTATGTCGAGTGTTGAAAAATGTTAAAGTTCTAGATGGGTATGCATCTAACATTTCACGTTATGTGAGATTGAAAAAGCGTACAATTAGTGGGTTGAAGAGTCATGATTGTCATATCTTGCTGCAACAACTTCTAACCATAGCCATTCGTAGGATATTGCCTAAGAATGTTTGCTCAGTACTTGTCGAGCTCAGTAACTTTTATCGAGAGCTGTGTTCAAAGACTCTTCGGCCTGAAGACTTGGATAAATTGGAACATTGGATTGTTTTAATACTATATCAATTGGAAATGATATTCCCACCTGCCTTCTTTACCATAATGATACATTTATCTGTTCACTTGGCTCACGAGGCAAGGATTACAGGACCAGTGCAATACCGTTGGATGTATCCAATTGAGAGGTCAAGATTTTTAATAAATTTTCATTTATAGTTTGTTTATTTTTCAAAAATTCTGATATTATTAAATTTCATTCTTTATGTTTAGGTACCTTATGACTTTGAAAAATTACGTGCGAAATAGAAGTCATCCCGAGGGGTCAATAGCAGAAGGTTATTTAGCGGAAGAATGCTTGACTTTTTGTTCACGTTATCTGACGAATATTGAGACTAGATTCGATAGGCCCCAAAGGAATTCCGATAATGTGCTTGATGGAGAGGAAGTGAATGATTTTGGTGCACAAGGTCATGCCTTGGGAAAACAAGAGTTCATTAATCTAGATGAGATGACTTTGGTGCAAGCTCATCGGTATGTTTTGTTCAATTATCATGGAGCAGAACCATTCATTGAGTAAGATTAAGTTCCCCAATATATTACATGATTATATTCGTGTCAAACTTCATTTAGTTTAATAGGCAATATGTTTAACATTATATTTTCACAATGCAGAAAACATAAGAGATTTCTTAAGATGAGGCAGTGGTATTTAAAACCAAGACAATTAGAGAAGATGTCTCATGATTTTTTTCACAAATGGTTTAATGAACGTGTAAGTATTTGACTTTTGTGTATGTGTTGGGGTATTATAGGTTTATGAAAAATTACCTTATTATATAAGTTATATCTTTATGAATACAGTTGCGAGATAGTGAGGATCCAATTCCTAATGAGCTGAGGTGGCTAGCATAAGGTCCAAACCCTGTCGCGAAACGGTTCAAGAAGTTTGTAATCAATGGTTTGAAGTTTCATGTTAGAGATGTTGAGAGACGGAGAAAGACTCAGAACAGTGGAGTTGTCATAAAGGCAGTGACATCTAGTTATGCAAGAGCCACCAATCAAAATCCCGTCACAAGAGATATTTAGTACTATGGTGTGCTGACTGATATCATTGAGTTGAATTACAATGTAAATAGGAAGGTGGTATTGTTTAAGTGTGATTGGTTTGATGTCTTGTCCAAGGGTAGAGGAATAAAGGAGGATGATTTTTGATTTAAGCTTATTAATTCGTCACGATCGTTGGGAACAGATGAGCCTTTCATTCTAGCATCTCAAGCTGAACAAGTATTCTATGTTGATGATCCCATTGACAATGAGTGGAAAGTGGTTATTGGTGCAAAACCGCCAGACCTTTATGATATGCCAGAGCATGATATTGAATCTTATCAAGTTTAGGAGCCATTTCATGCACAACATGTGGATAACGACTTGGATGTGCCTGATGATAGCACGTTTTGGACAAGAGCTGGTTTGCTTGGAACAACTATAGAAGAAGATGATGATGTTGATGATGACCTTGATGAAGATGAGATTTAGAATGATTCTATATCTATTTCTCAATGGATGTTAAATGTCTTTTTTGGATGTGAAATGTCTTTTTTTGGATATTATAAGCTCTGATTCACTATATATATATATATATATATATATATATGCAAATTTGACAATAATATTGCAGTATCATATTTTGTAGCATGCACATGTACGCTTCCCGTGAAAACTGATTTAGTTTTTTTGTGTGCTTATATATTTTTAATATGTTTTGATCTATTCTTGGCACATTATTGTATAAGTGCAATCAATGATTTTACCAAAATATAATGGTTTTATATAATTTCCATTGGACAACCAAAAATACCCTAAAGTTTTGAGGTATTTTTTTATTTCTTTTTATTGATTTTTCCTGGATTGTGCATTGCCTTTTTTAAACAATTTGATTGCATTCTCTTAAATGAATTCTCACTTTTTTGTTTTCTTTTCCAGGAAGGAAAAATAATAAGCTGACAATGAAACGAACGGTTAGTGAAGTGGAAAAAGTGAGTGAACAAAATACTGAAGCTTCAACTTCAAAATCATCCCAACCACTACCGAAGAAGAGAAGGGGCCCGACACGATGCAAGAATGTCTTAAACGTGACAACCTTATTACCATTAAGGTACATTTATATATAGATCATCTTATATAGTTTACATAATTAGACTATATTCAATATGAAGGAGAAAAAAGGATTTCTATCTTTATTTTTGTACTAAACATCTACAATTGTTAATTTTTGTTTAGGGTTAATAAGTTTGGACAGCCGATCGGCCTTGGAAGTGGTACATATACTAAGTATTTGGGAACACTTGCCCGGAATGCTAAATTGGCTCCTTTATGCTACAAAACTTGGTGGAAGATGCCTAAACGGTTGAAGGAGGATATGTGGAACGTTGTAAAGGTAAAACCCTTCAATGATATTAAAATAATTTTTATGAAAAAAGTGGATTAACATGCAACAATTATCACACTTTCAGGGAAAGTATGATGTGGGAATCCTGTCAAAACATTGGATAATATCCTCCATCGGAAAAAAATGGAGGGGCTACAAGTGTGAATTAAAAAGTGAATATTACTCGGTTAGGGATACAGATGCAGAAAGATTGGCAAACCCACCACCTGATGTTGAAAAGGAGCATTGGGAATTTTTGGTTAGGCATTGGGGTACACCTATTGCGAAGGTAATCCTCCATCTACCAATTTTATTTAAAGTCAATGAGTTGAATTTATAATTTACCTGCTTTCAGTCATTATTTTAGGTGGAATGTTAGAACGTTTACTTTTTCTCACTTTTTGTAGGAGGTCAGTAAAAAAAACAAAGAACGTTGTGGGAAGCAGACAATGATGCATACTACAGGGACAAAAAGCTTTGCACGTGTTTCTGCCGAGGTTAGTTGAAGTTTTGGCAATATAAATTATTTCAGTTCTTATGTCGTTGAATGATTATAAATGTTAGTGGTAAATAATAATATATATCACAATGTCTATGTTTCTTTTATAGATTGAGGAAGACGAAGGTATTCAACTTTCTCGTGCAGATTTATTCATTCGCACACATGTAAATAAGGATGGCAAAGCTACTGATGCTGCTGCTTCAGAGATGATTGTTAGTTTTCATGCTTCCATTTTGCAAAAAGGGGGTCACGTGCCTTGAAGTGACCAATTTTTAAACTCTTTGCGGTGTATTAGGGGGTCACATGCCTTGAAGTGACCAATTTTTAAATCATCGGCCCGTGTGGAGGCATTTTAATTTCATTGTTTATCATCGGCCCGTGTGGAGGCAATTTACTTTCTTATATTTGTTGAAAAGCATGGGAGTATGGGATCATTATATGTGGAGGCTTCTTGTTGATTGATTTGTGTTGTGGAGAAGTATTTGCTATTTGTTGTTTGTGTCAATGTGTCAATCATATTCTCCATAACATGTATTTAAATTCCATTAACACTTGTACTCTATTTGTTCTCTCATCTTTTCTTTGTTTCTAAGAATTTTTGCTTCATCCTTGTTCTACACCTAATAATTCTTGGGAAATTATGGACACAATGTGAAGTTGTTTACATTTTTAGATTTCTGGTTCTGTTGAAGTTGTGTTTAGTTTATTAAATTCTACTATATTGACATTGAGTTCATTTTCTAAAATTCTACTTCTATTGTATGACCTTGCTGGTGTGTACTATTACTGCTATATTGGGATTATCATTGAGTTCTTCTTTGAACATCCCGTGCTTGTCCTTGAATATGTTAAACACATTTGTTGAAACCCAAAATTGTTGGTTGAGAACTGATTGATAACTCAAAAATCACAATCAAGTTAGGGTAGGAGGAAAAGAAAATACAGTTCACCATTTAATTCTTGGGAAATTAAATCATTCATACAACATAGAAACACACCAAGGAGACATTCATTGATTTTACGTTTTTTTCTTCCTTTTGTTGATTTCTTGAGATTCAAGTTTTTGAAGATTTTGTGAAGACCAATAATGGAAAGGAAGATAAAGGGAGGAGAAAAAATTAATAAAGTATGTTCTGATTCTAAAACTCCATTTGGAATCTCAAATCTAATTACAAGATATTGCAATAATAAGAATGGAGGAAAAATTCGGATAGAAAATCAAATGAAAGAAATCAAGATGGAGACTAAAGTGGAATAATAATAATATATCCTTTAATTTGAACCTCAAACACTGCGTTAAGTTTGCCCGGATTCTATGAGTTTAGGTAACAATCATTTGATTTAATGTGGAATCTCAAATCAAATGATTGTTATTACTTATAGTTATAAGTGTTGCTTTGGATATATTTAGGTCAATTTTTGTTTCGTCTTTCAGTGTTAATTTGAATTTCGAAGTTGAATGACACAATTATGAAGAGGTTTTTAAAGTAAAAAGGGAACTAGAAAGGGAAAGTGATTCACAAATAGAATTTATAGCAGAAATAATTTTCAAAATTTTGATATTAATAAGCTCAATTATGGTCAGTTCTTGTAAACTGAAATTAGTTCCGGTGACCACACCTCTTAAGTTCTCGTTCTATTTGTGTGTGTGTCAAGTTCAGAATTTCTGTTTATATATAATTTGGTTGTTGTGTTTTGGTGAGAAGGATATGTTCATTGCAAAGAATGCTTAAAAAGTTCATTAGTTGAAGATTAGAAGGAATCTAAGTCACACAGTTCATTTATTCGTTAGTGGGTCTTATTTGACCTTTCTTGTATACTCACATAAAGGCACTCGATTGAAAAAGAGAAAACACATGTAACTAAATCATAGGAGGACCTCTCATTCTTTTCTGTTTTTGATAAGTAAAATATAACGCAAGTGTTGGACTGTTGGAGGGTGAGTAGTGTGACACAAGGACCTCTCATTCTTAAAATGTTTGTGAACATGGTGCTGGGGCGCACACGGTTAGGATTGGATTAGTTTTAGGATTAATGGAAACCAATTAGCTCTCTACAGTTTTAAGAAATTTGAAACAAAACCGAACCTATCACTCCATCTATTCTGAACCAATCTGAACCGTAAGAGAATGGATTGGATTGGTTCGGTTTGGCAGATTGGACCCTAATAGAGAACTCATTTTCAGAAAATTCAAGAATTACCTTCTAGCCAAACATAGAGTAGAACTCAAAAGGTAGAATTTTTTGCAGATTTGTATCCTAATACTAACAAAATTCAACAAACGATAGAATGTGCAAAAAGATGGGGGTTTCGCATGCTAATAGCCTATTACTAACAAAATTCAACAAAATTTTGACCCTAAAAAACCTCAACCAAAGTTGTTGAAATGCATATATTAGAACTCAAAATCCAAACTTCATTTGATAAGTCAATTAATAAAAATTAATAAATAGGATTCATCTGAATAAACTAGGATGAGAGGAATGATTGAGTGTGTGTGAGAGATAGAGATTGTGTGTGTGCAACACGATGGTCAATTTTGATGCGACAATGGTTTATGACTGGCCAAAGTGAAGGAGAGAAGTAGCCTTAATGGTTGGTGAGCTCGGCCAAGTGAGCAGTTGAGGGTGACAGAAAAAAAGAGTGGCAGGGAGCAGTCAAGGGGTGCAGCTCTGTTGCTATGAGAAGAATGATTTAGGGCTCGATTCTTTTAGTTAAGAAATTATTGAATATATATTGGCTGATCAGGTGTAGGCAATTCCATGGTATGTAGTGTAGACAACCATATATATATTTATATATAATGCACTGATTGGTTTGGATTTTTCTACCCTCAATCTGTGAACTGAACTAATCTAGACTTTTTTTATTTTAAAATTGAACCGAACCAAACCGATAATCCTTTAGAACCAAACCAATCCCCATGGATCAGATCGGGTCGGTTTTGTTGTGTTTTTTTTGCACCCCTATATGGTGCTAATGCCTCTGCTAATTTGCTTGTATCCAATGAATTGAGAATTTTGAGGTACAAAGGAAAATACCATAACTGATGCTTCACAGATCAAGGCCAGTATGATGGAGTCGCGAAGGGAGTAATGATAGTAGCACTTATAATTTTGTAAATAATTTTAACGTAGTATGAATTATTTATGAATAATATCCAAATAATCTTAAGGAAGTTCCTTATCAAATCCATCTGAGACGGCACCTTGTGATTAGCAAGATGGAAAATGGGACAGTTAACATAATCTTTCTCGATAGATTTTCCCTACCAACAATTTGTCATTAATGTTGTGGCCATTCAAGAAAGTGACATTTTTCTTTTTTGGCAGGAAAACATAAAAGAACTTCAAAAAAGTTACTCTGACTCGCCTATTGGCAGTTCCAATGATTTGTTCTCCATTGTGAGGGGAGAAGAGAGAACTGGTCGTGTGCGGATGCTTGGCTTCGGGCCTACACCAAGCGATGTTTGGGGGCCCTCTCCTAGTAAAGCTGAACTGATTAATAATGCGAAAAAATCTGATGAGGAGGCACGTGCTGTGCGCGTAGAGTTGCAGGAGACCATTTCAAAAATGCAAGCCGACTATGACAACAAGTTGGAAAATTTACGAGCCAACTATGATGACAAGTTGGAAAATTTACAACAACAGGTGGCTATGCTAATGCAGATGCAACAACAAAATTGTAGTGGACAGGTATATTTATTATTAGTTTTATTCTTTACTAAATATATGTTTACTTGTGCCAAGATTTTATGTATTTTGTTTTCTTATTTTGAAAGGTTCTGATTCGTTAAATGCTCCTCCTAGAGTATCCCCAAATTCATTATCTAGTCGTGATGCCAATTCAGTTAAGGTTATGAAATTTTAATTTCTCTTATATATATGTTAAATTTTCATTTATTATAATGTGTGTGTAATGAATTTATAAAAAATGTAGGGTAATTCAAATCAAATGGGCAAGAAGACTTGTTGAAGTTGAAGATAGGGTCGTGGCTGTGTTTTTTGAATTTCTTTCGCCTTGGATGGGTTCTTTTTGGAAAACTTGTACTACATTTGTCAAAAATTGTTAATTATTTTTGTCTGACGTTGAGTAGCTTTATTTAGACAATTTGGATGGTATATTGGCAGGTTAACTTGTGGTTGTATTAGTATACGTTTTTGCTTTTTGGTTGACATTTACCAACTTAACTTGTGGTTGTATTAGTAGCCAATTTTGATGGTACTTTTCATATTGGCAGGGTTAACTTGTGGTTGTATTATGTAAAAACAATTTGGATGGTATTTTTATATTAACTTGTGTTATATTGGATGACATTTAGTAGTTGGTAGTACTGATATGTTTTTTCCAAAAACTATAAGGGTAATAATAATAAAATAAAATAAAAAAATTAACCCCTTTACCAGCGCTCTTTTAAGAAGCGCTGGCATAGGGAGGGAGGGAAAAAAAATTCAAATTACCCTTTACCAGCGCTTTACCAAAAAGCGCTGGTAAATACATTCTACTAGCACTTTTTTCAAAAGCGCCGGTAAAGTACATCTACCAGCGCTTTTCTAGAAAGCGCCGGTAAATACTCTATACCAGCGCTTTTTGGAAAAGCGCTGGTAAAAGGCCTTTACCAGCGCTTCTCGAAAAGCGCTGGTAAAGCCTTACCGACGCAGGCTTTACCAGCGCTTTTTCAAAAGCGTTAGTAAAGCGCTGGTAATTGAATTACCAGCGCTTTTTAGGACTTTTACCAGCGTTTTTGAGCGCTGGTAAAACCCAAATCTGTTGTAGTGTAAATTGATATTATAAGTACATGTTTATCGTCATAATTTTTTTTAAAAGTTATATATTGTCATAAATTTACATGATATATGATTGTGTATTGTCTTTTAATTATGAAAATTATGACATGAAATTGATGACTTTTAACTGATAAAAATGCTAGTTACGTTCAATTATGTTAAGTAGTGATATTGCAAACATATATTACTATATTACATTATGATACTAAATTTGAGGCCCTTCCAAATTGAGGCAACGGAATTGGTCGCCTTTGAAGACCGACCCTAATAAAATAACTTTTAAAGGTTAGAGGGTAATAATGTTAATTTACCATGATAATTGACCATGGGTGCTTCTTTGTTAACTTTAATATACTTGAGGGATATCATTGTTCAAAAATAGACTAAACAAACACTTCAAGGGGTGTGGGTATAATTAACCCTAAGGGTTTGTTTGGTTAGGTAGAACTAGCAAGAAAAGAAAAGAATCAGAAAATGTTTAAATTTTTTGTGCGTTTGTTTAGAATGAAACGGAAAATTTTCAAGAAACTGGATTCTTGCAAGTAGCTAATTTTCTTTAAAACGATTTCTGTATAAAACACGCGAAAATTTTTATTTCTCGGGAAAGTTGTTAAGTTATATTTTAAATTCCTATTATACCCATAATTATCAGTTGGATAACTTGGGTTTCCTTTATCTTTTTGTCCCTTTTTTATAAACATTTTTTTCCCAAACGTAAATGAAATCGTGA